CCACCACTGTGTGCTTAGAAGGAATTGTATCCTTGCGCCAAGGCGGGAATTCCTTCAGTTCGAATTTTTTAAATCTCAATAGCTGTCATTTAAATATCAGCGTACTTAAAGAAATAATGTATTATTATATGATATTATATTATAATATTATGAGAATAAATGCGTAATAAACACTGAACGCAGCAGAACTACTTTGACAAGCGGAACAAGATGTCCGCTGCGAACAGTCGTAGAAGTGATGGACCTGATTCTTTCGGATAGGTCGTTAAAACGAACCGGTTCAAAAACTGATTCACCAGGCTCTTTTACACAGTCAATGACGTACAATGTTATAATCAAATAACCTAATAAATAAATAAATAACTAAAAATTGAATAAACTTGTCTTAATTAACAGAGCAATTTCATAAACAATGTTTATTTCTCTCTTTTCATTCCGGTAAAAGGTATATAAATGCTAATCTATTAATTAGTATGTAATATTATATAAATATAAAAACTTTTTTATATATATTTGTGAAGTATTTATACATTTGCATGTCTTCACAGTATTTTTTCTGTAAAAAAAACAAACAATAATAATGTTTTTAAAAAATCTATTTTTTTGTTATCAGGGCTCCAGACTAACTTTTCCACTGGTTGCACTGGTGCTACCAACTTTCTCAGTTGGTCGCACCAGCATATGATTTGGTCTCACCTTTTTTTTCTTTTCTTTTTGCTACATGCCATTAGCCTGGTTCTACCAGACTCTCGTACATTTCATTTGTACAGAGAGTCTGGTCTCGCTCCATTGAGAAACGTTAACTTCCTTGTAGGCGGGTTCTCTGTTAAAGTTCAAAACTATTGGATCTGCCCAGCGTCACTCAGGATCTGCCATAGCCAATCGCTAACGTGTGGTCGTGACGTATGTCATGCGCCGAAACCGGCTGGAAACAACAAGTCCAAATTCCATATTCATAAATCTAAATATCTAAATGCTAAACCTCTCTTTCTTATATTTGTGAAAGAATTTTAAAAATACCTCTTTTCAATTAAGTTGTCTGAGAACAAAAAAAGCCTAAAAAACATTATCTGTTTGTAATTATTTTCCTTTTTTCAGTGTCATGTAATTCTCTTAACTTGTTCATGTTTATTTTATATTATCCCCCTACTGTTTTATTTTTGTTTTGTTTTTATTATTATTTTTTGTTTGTTTTTGTATTATGTTTTCTGTTATTACTTGTGTATTGTTTTAAGCAATAAAAAAAAACAAGTCCGAATGATCAGAGGATTATGTTTAGAATAAGATGTCTGTCAACGAGAGCTGCATGTTTTGTTCATCGAATTTAAGAGTTCAAGGAACAATTCTAAATTCTAAATGTATATTTGACACTAAGGACAGTGATGTATTCAGTCAACTGTCGAAGCTGGGTGTAATCATTAAAGGAAAACTCCGGCGCAAAATGAACCTTTGGTCTAATTACACATTGTTACCTAGTCAACCGTTATCTGAGATTTGTTTTCATGATTATCGAATGTAAATAGTTTTATCTCTAAAAACAGTTTAGCCTATAAAGCTAGTATAACGCTAGTATATTGGGCATAGTGTAATGACAAATAAAAATCGCTTGTTAATACCACTAACAAGGCTGAAAATAGCCCCACACTAACACGGTAGCATAATGAGGGTCCCTACCTTCAAACCGAAGCATTGAGAACTTGGTAAGTGTACAGACAGTTTAATAAGAAGATATTTTAAACATACAGTCAACTTCGCGAATACAGGCAGGAGCCATCTTTGAAATACAGCCTTTACCAGTCGATCTACGAACGCCGATCCAAGCCTGCTGTTCGCGCTCACCTTATCACAACTTATAGCTCGTTCACATCTCACCAGCGCACTTGGATCGGCGTTCGTAGATCGACTGGTAAAGGCTGTATTTCAAAGATGGCTTCTGCCTGTATTCGCGAAGTTGACTGTATGTTTAAAATATCTTCTTATTAAACTGTCTGGACACTGACAAAGTTCTCAATGCTTCGGTTTGAAGGTAGGGACCCTCATTATGCTACCGTGTTAGTGTGGGGCTATTTTCAGCCTTGTAAGTGGTATTAACTAGCGATTTTTATTTGTCATTACACTATGCCCAATATACTAGCATTATACTAGCTTTATAGGCTAAACTGTTTTTAGAGATAAAACTATTTACATTCGATAATCATGAATACAAATCTCAGATAACGGTTGACTAGGTAACAATGTGTAATTAGACCAAAGGTTCATTTTTTTGCGCCGGAGTTCTCCTTTAACAATACGCCGCTGCGGTCGTTTCAGATCTGCCGCAAATGCTGTACAGTGATCATCGTGCACGCCGAGCTGCCCAGCACCAACTCCTAACCTTTCTGCCTCCCTCACTTGGTCCTCCATTAGTGCAACAAGAGGAGACGACAACAAATATCGGCTTTGCATCCTATCGTTCGCCTTAGCTAACTCATTCACCACTAGCGGAGTGAGCTGGAAAATTAAACTTTTCCCGAACCCCGTGGGGAGGAGGGCCACAACATCATGGCCACCAACAACACTTAGCAAACATTGATCTTGCTCCAGCTTTAACTTCTGGATATTCGGCAGTTTTGCAACAACGGACCGAATAGATTTTCTCACGTCTTTCTCCGCTGCCGTTACTGAACTCCAACTCAAACTGACGCGCTACATCAACGTCATCGTTCTCAGCCACTCCCTCTGTTCGCTGATTGGACCGGTAAAAAAATTATTTCTGGAAACCAAAGTCTACAGCACAATCCCAGACGTAGTACTGAAGGAAAATAAAATTGAGCGGAAGTGCGTAGGAGGGCGGAGCCAGGCTAACATGCCATGGGATTAATCAATGCATGCTGATGAATAGTGGTTTTAATGGACCAAGGCTAGCAAAGGCTTTCTGGGTTGCTGCAGAAATACCTGTAATATATTATATAAAAAAACATGTAATATATGGTAATTATCATTGCCAAATTTCAGGATTTTCATGGATTTTGGACAGTAATTTTAATCTGTAATTTTAAGCATTTTACATTTGAATTATATACAATCTATTTACATTTAAATCATATTCTATCTGTCTATCTATAATCATCTTTCTATCTTTTAAAAATCATTAAACATACATTTTAAAAGATTAGAGTAGCTATTATAATAAACTGATACAGATTTTTCATTATCAAAGTTTATAGTTGTAACAAAAAGCAGAAATCTCACACTCCAATTACCTTCTGCATTTTATAATAATTTCCTTATTATTTTGAATAAAATAACAAATAATGAATTTTTTCATGTTTTATGCGGACTATCCATAGACATAATGATTTTTATACTGTGCAAACTGTGTATTCTACCCCCCTACACTAACCCTATCACAGATAACTCTATGCATTTTCAAAAAACATCACTAGTCATCCCGACAAGGATTTCGGATATTGCCATCTTTATGGGGATATTTTGATCCTATAATGTAGGTTTACACACACACACACACACACACACACACACACACTCTCTCTCTCTCTCTCTCTCTCTCTCTCTCTCTCTCTCTCTCTCTCTCTCTCTCTCTCTCTCTCTCTCTCTCTCTCTCTCTCTCTCTCTCTCTCTCTCTCTCTCTCTCTCTCTCACACACACACTCTCTCGATTTTGTTTGCCACATATCCCGCGATTGTCTTACAGTACTATATTGTAAAAACGGCTGTCCCCAAATCAATATTTGACGCGATTTGCCCCGTATTCTTGAGCAGAAGACTGTTGATTTCTACCTCACTTACCGCATCTAGGTTTCCTAATTCCTTTGGATGAGTTTTGCCGCTTCGCACAACCAAATGTAACAGCCTCTCACAAGTTAGAAAGAAAACACAAAGCCAATCAGTTTAGCGATGTTCAGGAGGCGGGACTCAGATCTATTAAACGTTTGTGTAATTGGTCATTTTTTGAACGATGACAAGCCGAAATGAAAACAAGCCGAAATGAAATAGGAGTAACGAGGCTATTTTTAAAATGTAAGGAGTAGAAAGTATACAGATAATTGCGTGAAAATGTAAGGAGTAGAAGTAAAAAGTCGGCTGAAAAATAATTACTCAAGTAAAGCATATAAATTTCTACTTAAGTAAGGTAACGAAGTATTTGTACTTCGTTACTTGACACCTCTGTGATGTAAAGTCTTAGAAACGATACGATTTAAAGCTAATAATTCATACTTTTTAACTACTGACTCAGAGAGCAACACAGTAACTTCAAAGCTGTCCTTGACATAGATTGCTACCCCTCCCCTTTTTGGTCTGTCAGTCCCATAAACAGTAGGCTATAATCGTCAATATCTATGGCATTATCTGAAACTGTTTTTTTAAGCCATGTTTCAGATATCACTATAACATCAGCACTGGTATTTGCGACTTTTTATCTCACAATTGCGAGATATGAAGTCAGAATTGTGAGAAATAAAGTTGCAATTGCGAGATATAGGAAGTCGCAATTGTGAGATAAAAAGTCGCAATTACCTTTTTTATTTTTCATTCTGTGGTGGAAACAAGCTTCCATAGCCTAAATAGACTACTTAAAGCAAGGCAATGTTGCTCCTATTGAAGTAATAATAGTTGAATGACGGTGGATTATGAACTCGCCAAAACGGGAGAGGATTTGTTAGCAGATCAATGCAGCATTCCCGCTTGTGTCGCGGACCCTGGACGACTGTGAGAGGCGGTGGTATGCGCTACAATCCTTTGTGAATAGGTCTTAGTGAGTTAGGAGTCCTCTCGACTTCTTTTAAGCTGTCCCAGACTTAGGTGCTACTTTTAGGGCTAAAATGCTTCGTGAATTACTCTTAGTGAAAAAAATTAGGAGTCCTAAAGTTAGGAGTGACACGCCCATTATTTTTAGGAGTTGCTCCTAAATTCACCAGTTAGGAGCTACTTTTAGCCTTAAAATTCTTTGTGAATACGGCTCCTGGTCTGCATACAGAATAGCTTATTTGTATGACTTACCCCCAGTCAAATTTCCTCCATGGTTTATCCAGTTCTATGGAAAAACATATAGCAATTAAGTTTAACAATAATTTGGTAGTATCTCTCTATCCAGTTCTATGGAAAAACTTATAGCAATTAAGTTTAACATTAATTTGGTAGTATCTCTCTGAGAATGTATATAGCCTAGTGTGTGCATATGTGTTCTATATATGAAAAAAATAAGATGGAAGAAAGACCCTCTCACCTGGATTTGGTGTTGGTGCTGCTTGTTGCACTGGTTTTGAGCCTGATGATCCCATTTTGTTTTTTGTTTTTCACCCCCTTCAATATATTTATATCTGCTCTCTCCTAGAGTACAGTTGACTTGTATTAAGCAAGTGAAATCAGAACAGTTATATACTGTACATTTCAATTTCACTTTCATTTTTGCAAGCTTGTATAAAATGCCCACACCCATTCTTGTTTTTTTTAGTTGTCTATATTGACGTGCATGTTATTTCAAACATTAGAATCTTAGGGCAAATAGCTCCTAAGCCATGCAAAGCTGCTGATAATACTGAATGCACCTTGAATGCTGTGATAGGCATGCATTCCTATAGATAGACCTGGATCAGCTGAGAGTCAGCTAATGTGAGCATGACTGGCATGACCTGCCAGAACTAATGATATATGCCTGATTTAGCTGAATACTAATAGACTTGCAAATTTGCTTTTTTGTTTTTATTCTACAACTACTACTGACATTATACTTATTCTAAATAATTTTTGAGGACTTTTTACTTACTTTTGATAGCATATATTCCGCTGTGGTATTAAAACTGGTATCAAGAACTGAAATTTTGTTGGTGTCTAAAACTTTTTTCCAGCAAATATATACTTGATTTATATCATTATAGTTAAATTACTCATATAAGGTTTTGATCATATTATGGCCAGATCATGTTGTTAGCGGATTTACAGTTAATGGCCCAAGGACCAGATATGATTGATTAAGACCAGGAGTTAGAAGTGCTGTCAATTTAAGACAAGAGTCAGAATTATAATAAATTAATACATTTTACTGGAGATAGTTTGTAGTTTGACCGTGCAGAAGTCAGCTTCAAGACTCACAAGAAGTTTGTAAACCGCCCTGCTTACAGTTACAGTTATAGTCCACATCAACCTCTTAAGAAGCCTTGATACTGATTAAATCTTCAGAATTACTATCAGATCAAGGCACAAACTTTAAAGGTGGTGAAAGAGAGCTCCAAGTCATTCAAAACATTGGGTCCTACCCTGCAGATGGATCTGGCCAAACAGCAAACACAATTCAGATTTAATCCTCCCAGTAGTCCATTTTTGGAGGAGTTTGGGAACGTGAGATCAGATCCATCATGTCTTCCCTGTATGCCACTTTACAAGGGCAAAGTATGACTGAGGAGGTCCTGAATTCTGAATTCTAAACCTCTGGGATATATCTCCACAGATATTGCTTACCCAACCCGGTGACTCCAAATGTTCTTCTCATGGGGTGGTTTGACCCATCACTCCCAAGGACCTGCATCATGAAACGGAACTATAAAGTCACCGTAGATGGAGACACTCTCAAGAGCTTGCCGATCAGTTCTGGACACACTTCACAAAGTTCTACCTGCCCAACAAACCTGTGCCGGACACGATCGTTATGATTGTGGACCCACAGAGAGCCCTCTGGCCTCAAGGAAGGATCACTTACATGTTTTTCTCTGGACTGACGGACGAATCAGGAAAGCTGAAGTGAAAATTAAGGACAGAAAGTACATCAGACCCGTAGCGCACCTCATCAAACCACCAGCTCTCCCAGACATGGACAAAGTTTCAAGGCCCTTCTTAGAAAGGGCTCTGTATTCAGCATTTCAGGTAATAGATTTATATTAGTAGGGTTTTACTGAGAGTTGACATATTCAATGATTATGGACTGTTAACACCCTGTTGTGGAATCACAGAGAATGTGCAAAAGGGAATACCAATATGGGGACGTGGTGGCTTCACTTTTTATGATGTCAAATTTAAACTAATTATTTTTATAGTTTAAATTTTTGAACTATATAAACTTTTTTGCTCAGAATTGCAATGATTCGTCTACTATTAAAGCATGAATTTGATGTAAACAATAGGTCTACATAATATTCACATATGCAGTTCAAAGGAGACATATTGTATATAGTTACTGCATAATATAATTTTTAAAAACCTGTAACATTTTACATAGGTAACATTTAAACCTCAGGTAACAGGTAAACATATAAAGACTACATTAATATCAAATGAAACACTGAGAGCTTTTTCCTGTTGAAAGGTGAACATTTAGCCCTGTCTGAGCGTAATTAAAAAAGGAAAGGTAATGTGACAGTGATAATCATGCCTCTGTCCATCAAGTGTGCCATCAAAATCCAAATTTGTTTATATTTACAAAATGCAATTAAGTTGGTTAGTGAAAACATTGGAAATCTTTTCTTTGTATTTTTGTCAGTTAAATAAAGGTTCAAGAGAATATACAAATCACAGAATATTGCAAAATGTCCCAACTTTTCTGAAAATGATGTTGTAGATAAGATCAGGCGGCATTAACAGAAACAGAAACTGTCCATAACAAGTTTACAAGATCAGGCAGCATTTACCGTAAATAGAAACTGCAGCATTTACCGTAAATAGAAACTGAAAGTGATTTGGAAGTAAATCCTAAATTGGACATGACTTTACAAATTCCTGTCCCCTGCAGTTCATAAAATGTAGATGGGCTCACAAAATACAAAATAGTGTACATCACAATTCTGTAAAAAAAACCCTGCAAAATTTAAACTAATTATTTTTATAGTTGAAATTTTTAAACTATATAAACTTTTTTCCTCAGAATTGCAATGATTCGTCTACTATTAAAGCATGAATTTGATGTAAACAATAGGTCTACATAATATTCAAGTGTTTTAGTTGCATTACTATGACAATTTAAGCCCTGCCTGTGAAACCAGGTGAGGCCAAAATGTTTACAAAGGATTTTTTTTTAGCAGAATTTGGCTACTAGATAAAAAAATTTTTTACACTGTCACAAGTAAAACTTACAGGGAATGTTACGACTTTTTCATTAAGTTGTTGGACAAACAGCATGTACTTGAGAAAGATTTGGACCTTCAGGTATGGACAGTGAAACCTGAGCTTTTTTTAATTGACTCATGGTGGATTACTTACCTCAACACATGTTTATAATCTTAACTTCTATTATTCAGTTTACTGACTCTACCCAAATGCCTTTCATACATTTCTTGTCAACCCCATAAGTGAATTTACATTCTGTGGTCTTGGGGAGCTACTGTCCTGCGGAGTTTAGCTCCAACCCTAATAAAACACACCTGAAGCAGCTAATCAAGCTCTTTAGCATCGCTTAAAAATACAAAAGCTGGTGTGCTGAGGCAAAATGCCAAGAAAAACAACAGTGGCTTCCTAGGAGCAGAATCGAAGACCTCTGATTTACATTATTCTCCTAACTATTGTTAGATTTGATTGTAAATTGAATACGGACAAATTATAATAGAAAATATGTCAATTCGGTTTTCCAAATTTAGACCACACTCGGGGACCTTTTTACTAGTTGCTTTGTACCGGAAGTATGTACGTCTCCCAAAACGTTCCGAATGTGTTACATTTTGTTTCCGCTATGTGTGTGTGCCTACAGTGCCAAACACAGTTTTGTTCAATGGATGAATTATACATTTATTGAGATGGCAAGCATTTGTTTTTGTATATCATTTAAGTACATGTCCAAACACATTTCCCTAAAGCGGCATGGATAATCAAATTGAAACGGTAAGTTACAATAGAGGACTGTTCATTCATGCTAATAGTGATAGTTAGCTTCTACATTTTTTTGCATGCAAAGATGCATTTATTTATACAACAGTAATGTTTTCAAACTTCCCTTAAAAAATATATTTTTAATTATTTGGAACACGAATATGCAGGCTTCTTACGGGACAGATAAGCATGCAGATCTCTAAAATAACCCCTTGCTAAATGTCACCATGATTATTACCATAGTTTCTGTCATAATACTGTATTACCGACGTTTGTACTTCTGTAATATAGATTTAAATACCGTAAATTCTTACCAGCGTAAAAATAATGTAACTAACGGTCTGAAAGCTTTCTGTCATTTTTGACATTTGTTTTGACAGTAGTGGTTACTACAGTTGTATTGTAATAACATTGGAGATATTCCGAAACTGAGCATGATGGACTTTAATGTCACATTTAGTAAACAATGAACTCACCCTGTTTAAAAAACAAACAAACAAAAACTCAGGTCAAACTAGTGCTATGTTTAATGACTCTTTCTTCTTGCTGCTCTCCAGGCTCTGTGCTGCCTAGATAGCATTTCCCAAACTTCTGTCACCATCTCAGACTTCTCAGATGAGATTCTACTGAATATCCTGCGATTCATTCCTAGTCATGACCTGATGCTCAAAGTGAGTCAAGTGTGCCGGAAACTTCAAACTCTCTGTCTGGACAAGAGCTTGAGAGCCCATGTACACCTGCATAAAGAATATACGGTAAGCCTAAAAAACACACACTTTCTCTCATGAACTTTAGGGTATTTTTGACAAACACACTGGTTTAATTAGGGCAGATATAAGGGGCGTATTGTTCCAATACCATTATACTCTACTCTATTTAACGTTACAGAACTGTTCAACAATTAGCCATCTTGTCAATTGTGTATTATAGCGTTGTGATGCCTGATGAGGGTTCAGATATTTTCTCCTGCCATATTCACTGACCCAACACATACAAAATAAAATTAATAAAATTATTTTTGTGACTGTAATTGTATTATTTTTATGGAAAGCACATACCGTAATTATTTCTGTAAAACAAATTTTGAGCCCTTATAATTTTTAACCCAAGACATTAGCTTCCCCTCCCCTCGCAAAAACACATCTTCTTTTGTCTGATGATGTGTGAGCAGGCGTGAGGTCGGGACAATAATCTTTTCCCTCCAGCAACCTGTCACTCACATTAGACTGCAGCAATTAGCAAATGACAACGATCCACTCAATTCCTGATGGACAAAATCAAGTTCAGCCTTCCGCTTTTCTCATTTCTCAAGTCACTTTTACTGATAAAATCACAATAGGGATTAAAAGATGATCACAATTTCTGTTTCATGGTGACTTTAAATGTATATTTATTTTATGTATTATTTATTTATTTTAAAACTGCTACATTTTTCACATATAATTGAATTTTTTCTCATCAAATGTACATAGGGGGAAAACAGTTTACAAAGAAAAATTGCAATAACAGCAATAATTTTAATTTGCAATAATTATACAGGAAAGTTCAAGATTCCATTAGTTCATAAACACCCTTTCTTGGAAAATAATGTCAATTTCATCCCATTCATAGGCTACCAAGACTATTATTAAGTCACTTTTGCAATTTCAACAAAAACTCATCTATGTTTATGCCATCTATGATAATTTCACCTATCTAACAGGTTTTAAAAAGTTGACAAGCAGAATTTGCAACAAAATATAACAGAAAACCAAATGTTTAAGTATGAAATACATGAAAATATTACATTTTGAATTGCTTCTTATTCACAGGCAAATGACGATGCTGTGAAGCAGCTCTTGAAGAACCTCTCCGGTGACATCCAGACTTTAAACCTCAGTGGCTGCTACTGGTTGGCCGGCTCTACGGTGGATCAGGTCACCCGCTGTAAGGGTCTAGTCAGCCTGGACCTTTCAGGCTGCCGTTTGACGTCGATTCGGCTTTCGCATCTGCTGACCTCTCTCCGTTCTCTGTGCTCGCTGGCATTAGATGTGGGGCCGGGGTTCGACCTCCAGCAGCTGAGTGCAGAGGGTAAGTCAGCTTTGGCTCGCCTGCAGGAGCTCAAGCAGACATTGTTGACTCCCTCTTATGGGGTGGTGCCATGCTGCAGTGCCCTACGACGCCTTCACCTGTATCTGGAGGCCAGCGAGGGCTGGAGGGAAGCAGGCGGGTGTGCGCAGCTGATGGTGGGCCAGAGCAGCGTCCCGCACTATCAGAACCTGCGCTGGTTCTCCGCACGCCTCGCACCTGGTGAAGTCAATCGTACTCTGTTGGCGCTCTACTTGGCTGTTTTCAGTATGAGAGTGCCTGAGGGTCTTACAGGACTGGTACTCTCTGTGCCAGGAGTCGCACCGCCAAGGCCGGTTGCAATGACAGCGCTAATGGAGAGCATGGCGTCAACAGTGGGAAATAGCGTTAGCGCTCTCCAGTTTCCGCGTACATGGTTGGATGGTGCTATTCTAGGGCGAGTCCTAACGCACGGCTGCCCCGTTTACCTGAATGTCTCGCACTGTTCATCTCCAGGGTTTAACCCTCTGCATGTGCTGCTCAGTGCGGGTCGGGACCTCACACCCCTACGGAGTCTCAACCTGCGTGGCTGTGGCCGAGGACCTCTCGCCGAGAGCTGTGGAAAGAGCGAGGAAGAGATGGACACGGAGAGCATCAAAGCACTTACTGAATGTTGCCCGCATCTTATTCACCTTAATTTATCCGCCACGCACTACCACCATGCTTTTCCCACTGGGCAAGATGGACACTTGTGTGGCGCTTTAGGACGTCTTGCCTCCTTGTGCTCGCTGGCACTTCCGGTGTGTGCCTTGGCACAATCCTCTCCAACACCTGTGAACATTCAGGACTCCAACTCAGACCTCACACCAAGGTCACTACTTCTCGGCCTTAAAAAGAGCAGCCGTGTCGGTGTGCCCACATATCGACCCTCAACAGGGGTCATCGAGGGTCAGGGTGAAGAGCAGCAGGACAGAGGCTTCTGCATTCAGCCACTGCTTCAAGGCTGCCCGCATCTAGTGGAGCTGGAGCTGATTGGCGCAGGCTTTTCCTCTGCCATGCCACGGAATGAGCCGGCCATCCGCAAGGACCCCGTCGCATGCCCCTGGTCCTACAATGTCAGAGACAGTGAGTTAGCTGCTTTAGGAGGGATGAAAAATTTGCGCAAGCTCACCCTCGCTCACTTACCGGGCGTCCTGAAGGGGACAGGATTGATCGAGCTGCTTAAGGGGTGCAAGGACCTTCATTCGTTATCGCTGGCAAATCTCGGATCGTTAAAGACCATGAATTACACGCAGGCCCTGCTGGAGGCTCTTTCCCACTGCACACAACTCAGGGATTTAAGGTGAACGCACACGTCACTAAACACTCCATGCTCAAAATTAAGCAAAGACTCTAAATGTAGACTAGTCATAGCAAAAAGAAAATAACCAGCCATGCCACACATTTGTAAATATTACAACTGCAGCTCACCAGTAGGGGGCAGCGCCATACTGACAGGATTGCTATACATTATATTTTGTATTTCCTTACAATAAGTGTATTTGTGGCAAACTGTGCAGTTAGATGAATCTGGCTCATTAATCATAAAAAAAGTTATGTATTTATCTATATTAAGTATGGTGCATACATTTAACCCTCTGGGGTTCTTCGTTTTCCAGTCACACTCAGGACCTTCGCGGTCAAAAGTGACCGGACCCCTGAAATCAATGTTTTTTTTTTTTTCAGAAAAATCAATGAAATTTATTTTTGTTCAATAATATTTTTTCTTTTTTTTTTTTGGTGTTTTGAGAGAATTTTATGAAAATAATTAATATTTATGCAAAAATTATGATAAAATTTTTTCCCATTGAATATAATAGAAAATTTATATATATATATTATTTTTATTATTTTTTAATTAATGCTGTATTTCAGGTTAAAGTGGATCCTTGGCCTATAGAAAACATTTTTTTAAATCACATTGGAGCCATCTGGTGGATGTAGTGAGCATAATTATCATGCAATATCATATTTTAACCACTAGATGGATTTACAGCCTCTGTAGAAAGGCTTGTGAATTCTAGTTGTTTTTGCACATATTTGCCTATTTTTTTCAGGTTGTGGATTTTAATTTATAATAAGTTATTCTCAAAGACTATTTTTGTCAAGGTTTTTTTTTTTTTTTTTTTTTTTTTTTTAAATAAAATAAAAATTCTATTATTTTCGCATAGACATGAAAATCACTATCCAAACTTAAATGGTTGTAAGTCAAGAATGCTTTGGAATATAGACCTATGGTTGGTCTTGTTTTAAAGAAGACATTTGCCAGATTATTGTAGAAGTGAAAATAATTATGAAAGTGAAACAGAAAAAAAGTTATGTAAGTTTGAGTTAATGAAAATGAACAATGTAAAAATTTTATTATTTATATTTTATATAAAATATATATATTACAAAATATATTTTACTCTAAAACTGCAAGAAAATGAAAGCCAAAAATCTTAAGAAGTTGTGTTCCAAATTTTAGGTTGATATCTAAAAAAATAAGCTTTCAGTCAAGATTTTATTTTGGCGCATACCAAACTTTTTCACTAGATGGAAAGCCAAGCTTCCTTACTGACCATATAAGGGCACCTCCATTTTCATATATGTTTTGAGTGATCTGAACCATGTATTTCCATAATTTTCATACAATTTATGAAGTAGACATCCTATTCAGAAGTAGTATGGGTGGTTTGACAGTATTTGATTTGAATTAAACCTCTAATAAACGCATAAAAAGAGCACATATTGCTGCAATAGGCCTGGGCCCGTATTCCTAAAGAATCTTAATGCAAAAAGTAGCTCCTAGTGACAAAATTCTAAGAAAATTCTTAGAAATGTGGGCGTTTACTCCTAAAATTAAAGAAAAAATCCTAGTAAAGAAAAAAGTAATTCAGAAAGCATCTTAACCCTTAAAAGAGGTCTTAAGGTCAAAATTGTTAGGAGCACGGACGAGGACTTTTAAGAGGCTTAAGAGTTTTTTTTAGCAGAGGAGAAAATGGCAGAAAGACGAAGAGGGGGAAGAAATGCATTGCAGACAATAGATGACAGTGAGTTAATAAGACACTATAGATTAGATCGTGCAGGGATCATGTTTGTGACCGATTTTATTAGAGACACAATAACATCTCCGACACAGCGCAGGAATGGCATAGTGCCAGAAATGAAATCACTACTGTACATTAAGATATTTGGCATCTGGGAAAATGCATCAACGCAGCAGTGATGATTTGGGTCTGTCACAAACTTCTGTAAGCAGAGTGATCACAAACAATTACAGCACTTTCAGAACCTCTCATCGTGTCGCAGTTCATTTAGTTTCCACTGGACATTCCCACATTGCATGCTCAAAAAAATGCATTTATGAATATAGCAGGCTTCCGCACAAGGAGGGGGAATGAACCGTAAATAATTTATTATTAACCGCTATAAGCTCCCACGTCTGCTTCTGTGCTGTGACACCCGGCCTGATTTTCCTTTAAGGATGGCCTTGTGTTCATCCACTAACTGGGCTCACAGTAAACACTGTTCCTCTGTCCAGTTGAGCTTTCTTGTCCTTCTTGTTTTTTATTCCATGTTTGTTACATTAAAACCAACATTCAAACCACCACTTAAATAGACAGTGGAACAATTTTTATCATTCTAATCCAATCAAATACCTTATAGGAAATTAACAATATGGTAAATAAAAAAAAGGATTTATATACACAAATATAATGTGTGTGTGTGTATGAGAATGGTCAAATAGGAAAAATTACGCATGTAATTTCAAAGTGAAGGCTTAGAATAGACCCTATACTTAAAATCACTCTTTTTTTCCTTCTTGGACAACCAACCAATCACAGTCTTCAAAAGATTGTGTCATACATAGCAACGGGGTCAGCCCCGCCTCCTCACTAAGATAAAAGTTTTTGTCTTTTCCTTACTCAGAGTTGCTCTCAGATCGGTCCCGGAATACTCTTAAGCTAAGACTCCTACGTAAAAGTTTTTAAGCTAAATTAAGAGTTTTCTAAAAGGATTCTTAGATTCTTTAGGAATACGGGCCCTGGAGGTTACTAAGGAAGAATTCCATCGTTTGATCTTACACTGTGTGTGTGTGTGTGTGCGTGTGTTCAAGAGAGAGAGACATAGTGTGTGACCTTTGCATTTTGGACCCAATGTCTCCCCTTTATTTGATTCCTTGATTTTATTTAACATATTCTCACATTTCTCTGTTACAGTTTCACCAGTCTCATATTTCCCTATGTGTGTGTGTGTGTGTGTGTGTGTGTGTGTGTGTGCGTGTGTGTGTGTGTATTTTGCAACCTTGATTGTTTACAGTCTCATGCGTTCATTGCTGTGCACTTTATTTCTTACATTGATGAATAATTGCTTTTATTTCACACGTTTCCCAAAATTAGCTTTTGCAATGACACGCGTTAATTTGTGTACATGCGTGTGTTTTTGTGTGTATAAGTGTGTGTGTGTGTGAGTGTATTTGTCTGTTTTGCACTCTTGATGTTTTAGAGATTCCCCCCTTCACTGTTGTGTGCTTTTTTCCTGCATCGTGGCTGATTTGTAGATTGTACACACAAATAAACTCTGTATTTTCATATTTTTGCCAATTTCCCATTCATTTCCTATGGCCGGTCATTTTTGACCCGAAGGTCCTGAGTGTGACTATTTTTTTTATGACCACTTAGACTTTTCAAATCCTGTCCCCAATTTTTTTGTGTGTTCGTATACCAAGTACCATAAAAGTCACCAAGTTTCGTACCATTCCGACGAAGCTACGATTTTTAACATTTTGTTATTTAAAAAAATCCGGTCAGAAATGACCGAAGTACCCCAGAGGGTTAAAAATTATTAAATAAATAGGGATAGGGATTAATTAATTTCTTATGATGACACACTATGAAATCTTAAGCCCTTTTCAGATGTTAATTGTTTCTCATGGGGACATCAGCTGATTTAAACACTTACAAGAGTTAGTCTGTGGTTTATTGCTGTCTGAATCCAGAATGTCTGTTTCTTTTTCTCCCATCTAAAATTTCAAATATGTTTTGACTAAGTCTATGATTTACGCTTTGGTCGAATTTGAAAAGATCATGAGAACAACCTAAGAAAAATCTGCGGTTATGATACTTGCACCATTTATATTTTAGAGAGTTTCTTAGCTAAACGGCAGCTGTCACAATAACATCGTCCATTATTTTGTTTCTCATAATTTTATTTCGATGTGCATGAAAAAATAATGGCTCCATTAAAGTAAAATGTGACACGCAACAGTCACATAGCTTCTTTTTGGTAGACCATGTATCGTCTTGATGCACTTGCATTCATAAAATGGAATGTAATATTATTTTATAAGCGATGTTAACATGCATTATTTTTTTATTCCTAAAAATTTTATCTCTTAACTGGCTTGTAACTCATTCTGAATTTGCCGTTGGTGAGTTTTTTTATTGGACCTGGCTAGAATGAGAACCAGGATTACTTAATTATTAATATATTTTTTAGCATAATATTTTATTCCCTTAACTTCTGCATTCATTCACTGTCTGTATGTGTAAAACTGCAGGCTGGAGCAGCCCTACTTTAATGCAAACGCCGCATGTTTTGAAGAGCTCAGTCAGTGTCAGCAGCTGCGGCGTGTTTGTCTGGTTTCTCGACATGGGAGCTTCCAGCCTGCCGCTGTGACGGCCTTCATGCAGAGCTGCACTGATGTCATCATGTGCCACATGTTCATGGGAGGTACCCTGGTGGCATGTAAAACACTGCAGAAAACCCTGCTGGAAAGGTTAGTTGTTTTAAAGAATTCTTAATAATAAAGACTTAATGCCTGAATAATTTCCAGACAGCAACATAGTGTCGGCCCAGATTCGGCCCACATCTGATGTGTGTTGAATCCACATGTACCAGATGTGGGCCGGATCTGGGCCGACACTATGTTGCTGTCTGGGTTGTTGTACAGGAAGTAACCTGGTCTACATCAAATATTCATCTTGTTTGTTCTTTTCCCCCTTGCAGTTTCTCAATTTCTCGTCCAGCCCTTAGTGTGGTGATTTACCCTTTACTGCACGAGGACCTGGCCCATGTGATCAGAGGTATGCCACTTTGCCACCTGGACGAGATCACACTTTTCAAAAGCCGTGTCGCTGAAGAGCCTGTGAAACAGCAACTGTGACTGAAGCAATATAATAAAACAGAGAACATGTGGGGGATTAACCTGGGTAATGCTTACCCGTGCTATTTTGTGAGAGAGAAATGATGCATTGTAGGAACTCTCCCTTTGATAAGTAAATATTAGCAATCTGGAGGATTCCATAAAAAAAATCATTTGTTTTGACTTGAGAGATCATTGAGCTAAGAGGACAATCACAACTTTAAATGAGGTCATCATTTTCCATTAAAGAGCTGCTATGAACAAACTCATTAACAGGTCATCTTAAAACCTTAAAAATAAAGTATTGGTCAATACATTTTCTTAAGTGTTGTGGAACTTGCATCACATTATACATTTTTTAATCGAAACATCCAATTTATGGTAAATCACATGATACATTTTTGCTTCATGTTATATCATCAGTGCGTGGTCTGTGTCAAGAGTTCATTGAATCAGTGGCTGTGGTTTTATGCTCATAACATTTGCGAAAGTCTGATTGTGGGGAAAAAAGGAAGTTTAAGGGGTTTTCCTAGAAAAAGTAATTAAACATATTCTCTTACAAAATCTGGGAATATCCTCTCACAGGTCTTTTTTTCCCTTCCTTTTTTAATTTCGAAGAACCAGGTCTCTGAACCGGTTCAAGAAATGAAAACAAATATGGAATCAAACTAAATTTGAACAGGAACATAAAGTACAATTAAGTTTAATTGTTATGAACTATTATCAACAACATCATTTTATAGGTCTGTTTAATATTTTAATTTGGCTGTCAACCAATCATGAATTCGTGAATCTTGACATCCAATATGAGTGATATGCCCGTGCTCAGCTGGCAAGTCATATTTACCCAATGCCTCCAGTCTGCACCACAACACACTGGCATTCTACACACGATATGCTAGAGCGACATTTAGAGAATTTTTGCGAAGGAATGTCACCAACCTTTAAACACACTATATTAATGCAGTGTTTCCAACAGGAAATATGTAAGTTTGATCCCTGAACTTCAGGGGTTGCAGTCTAAAGTGTGTCATATGATGCAAAATGCTTACAAACCTTTTCTTCTGACAACTAAACATAATCTGCAGGTAACACAGAGAGAGAGTATACATTTATTAACATAAATCGACATTGTAACAATATGAATCTGTTCTAAAATTGGCAAACTTATTCTTCAAATTCTAAACTCTGGATAAATTTAGTGCACTTGAAAAAACAAAATTAAGAACTCCGACACCTTTTCAGTGGCCAAACATGTTTTGCGTTTTGATAAGCAATTTTGATTTTAGTTGGATTGACAGATCCAACTTTGTCAAAGCAGTGTTGCAAAACACAACGTTAGAGATGTTTTCTATAAATAATAACAATAATAATAATTTACACTGATCTTCCCATTTAAAAGGTTTACACCTCCAGGTCTTAATGCATTGTATTTCTTTCTTCAGCATCAGTAAACTTTTTGCTCCTCTTGTAATAGTTCTGATTGAGTCCCTCAGTTGTCCTCAGTGTGAAAAGAATGATTTCAAAATAATATTCACTTTGGAAAAGGTTAAAATTTACAGAAGTGCTAAAATAAATTGCATGACCTGGAGGATTTCTCTAAAGAGCAGTAGTTTAACTGCTGTGGACAGACAAGGGACTCATAAACAACTATCACAAAACATAAAAACATCAGTTAAACACCAACATACCACAACGTATTAATATTCAAGGGTGTGTAAACTTTTTAAATGGTTCTTTTGTGTAATTTCAGTTATTATTCTGTTGTGGACTGTATGTAAACTCTAAAAGTGATGATCTTTGGACAGTATCAAATAAAAAAAAACATGCATTTTTTTATGACCCCTTTTATTTTGTTAAATCATAACTTGCATATTTTGCAAGTTGTATGTAAACTTATGAGCAGAACTATAGGTTCAGCATGCATTTTTAATGTCAGAGACAGTGAGTGGGGGATTAACATGGGTAATGCTTGACCCGTGCTATTTTGTGAGAGAGAAATTATGTATTGTAGGGAAAAAATATTTGCAATCTGGAGGATTCCAGGAAATAATTTGTTTTGACTTGAGAGATCATTTAGTTAAGAGGACAATCACAACTTTAAATAAGGTCATAATTTTCCATTAAAGAGCTGCTATGACCAAACTCATTAACAGGTCATCTTAAAACCTTAAAAATAAAGTATTGATAAATACATTTTCAGAAGTGTTGTGGAACTTGCATCACATTATACATTTTTTAAATCAAAACATCCATTTTATGATAAATCACATGATACATTTTGGCTTCATGTTATATCATCAAAGTTTTAGTGTATAAATATTTAGAGTAAACATTACAGAATATGGTCCGTTCATTGAATCAGTGGCTGTGGTTTTATGCCCCAAAAAGCATAAAGGGAAGTCTAAGTGGTTTTCTTAGAAAAAAAAAGTTATTAGTCATAGGCTACATAGTTTCTAAAATCTGGGAATAGCCTGACAGTTCCGGGGTTTTTTTTTTTTTTTTTTTTTTCCTTCCTTTTTTAATTTCTGAGTACCAGGTCTCTGAACCGGTTCAAGGAATGAAAACAAAAAACAGAATCAAACAAAATGTTAACAGGAACATAAAGTTAAATCAAGTTGAATTATGAACAATTACCTGAAACCGGTTAAACAACATTATTTTATAGGTCTGTTAAATATTGTAATTTGGCTGTAAACCAATCATGAATTCAAATCACTGACTTATGAAAATGTCAAAATGACAAATAATCAAGAATATGCAGGTAACACAGAGAGAGAGTATACATTGTAAAAGCTATATAATCTGGTACAATTTGAAAGCAAAATTAAGGGCTCCAACCTCTTTTAAGTGGCCAAACAGAGTACTTTTTTTTTTGGCCCGGTTTCACAGACAGGGCTTAGATTAAACCAGGATTATGCCTTCGTTAAATTAGGACATTTAAGTAGCTTTTATAAACATGCCTTAGGAGATATGTCAGTGCAAGTTACTTTCAGTTAAAACAGCTCAAACATACATTTTAGTCTGGAACTATGCTTAAGCCTTGTCTGTAAAACTGAGGGTTTACTTTTTTTCATTTAATTTCATCATTTCATTATTTAATTTCAATTTAATTTAATTTCCAGAAGTCCCACTGGATCAAATTATCTCTTTTACAAGAGAGACCTGGTCAAGGTAGCTGCCATGCAAGCTAGCAATTAAAATACAACATATAGAACACATATTTAAACACAGAAGCATTTTACATCAAACAATCACGTCTCCTTCACCACATTCTTTATGATTACCTTAAATTCATCAGTAGATATGTGTATTCAAATTTGTATGCTAATTATTCCATGTCCAAGGTGCATAATAGGAAAAAGCAATTTTATCCAGATCTGTCCAAACCATGGTACAATAAAAAGCAAACACTTGGAGGAGTGCAACAGTAGTCCAGGTGATATATGGGCAAAATTTGAGCTGATGTGTTCACTTTTTTATTACAGTTTTTCTCGATTGCTTAAACACTATAACCAGGCTTTTGAACTAAAATTTCAAAACCATAATGCCATTTATCAAAAAGCACACCCATTTCACTGAACTATGAACACTATTCCCCTGTTTTGACACATTAGTCAGATTTGTTGAACTGTCACAGCAAAACTCTACACACAAATCCCTTCATTTCTCATTGCCTACACCCCGTGGTCATTTAGAAAGCACTAGCATTCAAAATTGTTCACTCAAGTCAGCACAGCTTCAGCTCAGTTAGCACACAATTACCCAGGTGAAAACACTAAGAGTCAAAATTGAACACACATCAGTCAGATCCTTCAATAGATAAATAAAAGGTTATACAATCTTTTATAAAAGATAAAAATCAGTTTACTGAGTTTTGGAACAATGGATCCACAGAGAAATTAAGCAATAGGTCGAGGAGGAAGAGGAGGAGGAGGAGGAAAAGGAGCAGGAAGAGGAGGAGGAGGAGGAAGAGGAAGAGGAGGAGGAAGAGGAGGAGGAGGAGAAGAAGAAGGAGGAGGAGGAGGAGGAGGAAGGGCAAGTGCAAGAAGACAAGCAGTCTCGGATGAAATTCAAGCCACTTTAGTTGACCATGTCCTTGTCCATGGTATGAATATGAGGGAGGCTGGGCAACGAGTACAGCCAAATTTGAGTCGCTTCACCGTCGCCTCCATCATCAGAACCTTCAGGGAGGTGTGGTGGCAAACAAATTTCTATCACTGAATAAGAGACAAACATTTCCAATTGTCTTTGATGAGGTTTATGTTCTTGCAAGAAAAGGCCAGCAGTCGTACAGTCACACAGAGCGGCTGCAGAGTGTGACAGTGAAGCATCCTTTCTCCTTTATAATCTTGACTCCCAGAATGTTATCTTTCTAGGCCAATGATGGTATTTCAACCATATGTGGAACATTCTTAGACTTGTTCATCATATTGTATCCTTGAGTGGAGGCATGTACCAACACTCTTTACCATTCCAATACAATTCCATATTTGAATAAGGTTTGTGTGTGCTCTTTTAATGAAGTTCCTAAACGTAAGTTAGGGAGGAGCGAGCCCATCCAATCTTTCAATCAACAAACAGAGTATATAAGCAGCCGCCTACCTCTCCCTAGTATCAGCTGTTCCAGTATCCCTCCACCTCCCCAAACTCCACCTTCATCTTAGGTACCTTGCCCTTTAATTACAGTTTTTCTCAATTGCTAAAACACAATTTCTGAATCCTTGCTCCTTTTTCTGAAAACACTAAACACAAAACCTCATCTTCAAGCACTATTTACAAAACCTCTGACTCTTCTTGCAAAATGAAACTTTCGCCTCAAAACAGTTTTACTTGTGTTCAAAATCAAACACTGCTCTCAAATCATAGACAAAGTGATCAAAATGATATACACTATCAAGCAGTCAGTAAACAATACACCAAAAAATAGAAAACACATTGTTCAAAACATACAGTTCTCGAAAGATATCTACGGACGGCTATTCTGTTTGTAGACTTAACCGTGACACATTACTGTACCATCAAAATTTCAGGGAGAAGTACATTTTTAATCTTAAAACAAATTTCATATTTG